CTCTCTCTCTCTCTCTCTCTGGTTCAAAAAGTTTTTGAGAAAACAAAACCACACACACCCAAGTACGTAATATATAATCAAACACATTGACATGAAATATTTATTAAAAATGAAGTGGGAGAAAGATATAAAGCAGACCTTCTGGCCTCTTTCTATATACTTGACAGCATAAAGCTCACCAGTGAATTTATCCCTCACAAGCTTGGCAACACCAAAGTTCCCAGACCCTATGTCTTTCAAATCCTCATATCTCTCCATTGCTATCAGATTAAATACCTCAAACAACCATCAAGAAACAAATATCCTTCTCTCTCTCTCTGTCTCTCTCTCTCTCTAAGCATCTAGGTCGTGAACATGTCAACAGAGGTGTAATATGAAGAAGAATTGTCAAGGTTTTGTGATTGGCACCTAATATTGAACTGTCCAATTTTTTGCTGACTGTAAACTCTTATAGGTGTTTTCGTTACTATCGTACATGAATCAGTTTGACGGACGTGGAATGAAGGACAGTGTGGCACGTGGCGTGATGTAAGCGGTTGGAATTTCAAGGAGAACCAAACTATCGTACATGAATCATTACTAATTCTGCAGTACCTTCGACAAAACATTCAGTTATTGTATTTCCACTAAATTCTCTGGCCAAGAATGAGTTGAGCTTATAAAAACAAAAAGAATGAGTTGAGCCTCAAATAATTTATATATTTCATATTTCATGATTTTTCTCAGCGAGGATGAGGAAGATGGTGCCGGCGATCTTGGCGGCCTTGCTGGTGACCAACGTCTGAGATGACTTGCTGGTTTTCAGTTTGTTCTTTAAAATATGCATAATTTATTAATTTAATTTTTAAAATATTTAATTCATATTTAATTAATTTTTATATAGACGACCGTTTAAATTTTTGCCAAGAATAATTATGGTTTGGTCTAGTGATACTGTCCGACACATGATCACTTTTGTCAAAAAATTTAACAAATTTTCTGATTAAGAACTAAATTGATACGAATTTTAATGACTAAATTGATAAAATTAATACAATGAGAACCAAATTGACAAAATATTCGTATTTTAGAGACTAAGAGTGTTATTAATTCTATTGTGGTCTTGCAATAATAATAATTTGATTTCATTTTTATTTATTTACAGGGAATCATATTTTGTACCCTTAAAAATTTAAGTTTTTTCACTTTTTATATTCAAAGATGAGATTTCTCACATTACATCCTCACTATAATAAAAATATTGGAATGTGACATTTTTCTGTCAAAATTCACTCTATTAACGTTGATGGAATGAGTAATAGAAATTAATGAAAATTGTCAAATTATAATATTTTTAATATATTAAGGGTATAATGTAAGAAATTTATGGTTAATTGTAAATTATACCCTGAAAGATCGTTCGAATCTCAATTTGTACCCTCAAAGATAAAAATCTATATCAATTTGTACCCCCAAAGATCAAAAATCTCAATTTGCACCCTCAAAGATAGAAATTTGTATCAATGTGCACTCTCAAAGATCAAAAGTCTCAATTTGCACCTTCAAAGATAGAAATTTGTATCAATGTGCACCTAAAACTAAATTGATAAACTATACCTAGATCCTCTTATGCTTGTCATTTAATCATTTGAACTCCTTCACATTTAGAATATTACTCTTGCATCTCATAACGTTTGTGCATGTGCAACACGTAATCTTTTTTCGTTCATATTAGTTAATATAACCTTTAAAAAATATGATTTTATTTTAATAAAAAAGTATAATTTTATATTACCCTTTATTTTATGGGTCCAATATACTCTAAAGTTTTAAATCAAACTTTAAGATTTGAATGTCTAATAGAATAAAGAGTTGCACATTGAGTGATATATTGCATTGGATATAAAAATATTATATAAATATCTACATTTTATTGGACATTTAAATGGTAAACTTGATTTTGAACTTTAGAGTATTTCGAACCCACAAAATAAAGAGTAATATGAAATTATAATTTTTTATTAGGATAAAATCATATTTTTTAACAGTTATATTAACAGATATCAACGAAAAGGGGTTACATGTTAAATGTGCGCATACGTCATGAGATGTATAAGTAATATTCTAAATGTGAAGGGATTCAAATGATTAAATGACAAGCATGATGGGATCTAGATATAATTTATCAATTTAGTTTTAGGTGCACGTTGATACAAATTATTATATTTGAGGGTGTAAATTGAGATTTTTTTATCTTTGAGTGTGCACATTGATACAAATTTCTATCTTTGAGGGTGCAAATTGAGATTTTTTTATCTTTGGGAGTGCACATTGATACAAATTTTTATCTTTGAGGGTGTAAATTGAGATTTTTAATTTTTGAGAGTCTAAATTGAGATTTGAACTATCTTTCGGGGTGCAACTTACAATCAACCTAGAAATTTAACCCTTAAAAGTAAAAATTCATAAATCTTTTAGAATACAAAGTGTAATTTGATCATTTATTTAAAAATTTAAAAATATAAATAATTCCAATTGTCACACCATTTAACCTTTATTGTTGATCCCGTGGCATTACTCTACGATATTATTATTCATGATTTCCGTCTTGATAAGTTTAAATAACAATCAATATAACCTATTGTATCCATTTGATGATAAACAAGTTGAAATATTCTTACCACGATATGATTTAGACATAGTTTAAACTTAACATGATACAACCATTGTTGTATAACTTGGAGTCCAACCATGCAGTCGTTAAGAAGAAAGATATGAGAGAAATTCTCTGCTTTTTTTGAAAGGAAAAAAAGAAGAGGAGGAGGATAAAGACATTTCGAAAAAAGAAAAAAGAGGATAAGAAAACTGACGAGGACGACCCAGATGAAATGAGCGGTGAGAAGCATCATTGGAAAACGGATGGAGGGTCCCCATTCCCCAATGTGGTGTTGGAGTTTCTGAAAAAAGTCCATTGCTGGAGTGGATATTGCGTTATTTTGAAGCTGATTTTTTTTTTGTTACGAAATAAAAATTTAAAAAAGAAAATAAAAAAATTTCTTAAAATCGTTTGAAATGTTTTTAAAAAATTTGACTTTTTTGAGGTCCTTAGAAATGCCCTCTTTTTTTTTTTTCAATTTTCCCTTGTACTGATAAAAATTATTTTTACTCGAAAAATTAATGAAAAAATCACTCAATAAATCCGTGTCCAAAAGGATCAAGTTTCTTTTCATATGAATCGTCCAAAAGTTGAATTTTTCAACCACCTCCAAATAGGTCTATTATATTAATTTTTTTTTGTCAGACATTATACTACGTTTGTTTTTTTTTTTGGTTAGACATTATAGTACGATTTTATTTTTTTTGGCCAGACATTATACTATGTTTTTTTTTTGGTCAGACATTATACTACGTTTGTTAGACACTCTTATATGTTGATATTGTTAGACATTTGTATAATCGAGGTTTGTAATTAGGACAATTTAAAATAATCAAAATAGTTGAAGGGACAATAATGAAAAATTTAATAGTTGAAAAAAAAAGTCATAGTCAAGAATTTCAAGGTATAATTTACTCTTCTTTCTTTTAAATTTTTAATTTTGGCCTAAACATTTGCCAGGAGATGAAAGATCTTTCCATAGAGTTTATAATGACCTATATACTATAATCAATTGTTATGATTATCAAATTTATTTTTTAAATTAATATAACATTACTTTTTGTATTTATATTTTTACATACGAGGAATTAGTGTCGTGAAAACTATCTGTCTCATTGTCCCTCTAAACAATTAGAGAATAAGATAAAACTTGAAAATAAGTTTTGTACTTTATTAATTCCTCAGTCCCTCTGGTTGGGTGGCTCCTGTGAGTTCTTTGATCAGATCCCGAAAATCACTTTCAATAATTGATTTTTTCAAAAGAAAAAAGAGATGTAAATAGTCATCTCAGCCCTAAATAAGTTCAACAAATTAGACCCGGTGATCAAATGTATGCAGCCTGTACATGAGGATCTTGCTAGTGGGGTTTGCGACGATAAAATGTATGCAATTTTACTCTCACAGGCAGAAGAACGGTTTTCATCGTTCAAATCTTTGATGTTCTGGTTACAATAGAACAATTTTACTGTAGACCAAGACTCTCCCCCAACCATCTNGTGATCAAATGTATGCAGCCTGTACATGAGGATCTTGCTAGTGGGGTTTGCGACGATCAAATGTATGCAGTTTTACTCTCACAGGCAGAAGAACGGTTTTCATCGTTCAAATCTTTGTTGTTCTGGTTACAATAGAACAATTTTACTGTAGACCAAGACTCTCCCCCAACCATCTCAAAAATACTCTTTCATAAATTGTATTTCAAAATGACTTGAAGCATGCCTACTTTGTAATTCACAGGGTGCAAGTTTAATTGGATAATACAACAGGACCAAAGTTTACCATTCAATCAAAAGCTATATTAATAAATGTCTGGGCAACAAGTAAAAAAGGCCTACTCAGTTGATGGTTCCCTTTTGTAAAAACCCTTCATTGTCATGAGATCTGAAAATCTTCTTAACAAAGCTCTCCTCTTACTACTGGAATTTCTATCATCTGACTCATCAAAATCTTCTGAATTTGGTATTCCTCCACTATCTGTGAATGCAGAAGACGATCTTCGATGATTTTGGTACTTTGATTTTGGTGTCCGAGGCTCCGACTTCGGCGTAAATGGTGTATCAAATATTGACCCTTTCAAGGCCTCAGCCTTTTCGGGGTCCTCATCTACAACAATCCCATCTTCAGCTTCATGTCCATTCAGTAATTTCAGTTCACTGATATTGAAACTGAAAGCTTTCTTCAGTTTGTTGTCCTCAAAAGTTGAATTTTCCGACTTAAACATCCCACCTTGTTCCTTATCCTCTGTCTTCGACTCTGTTGATCCTGTAGAAAGCAATCGTTTCAGCCCCTTAACATTCTCATTTGCTGCAGTTTCATTGATCCTTAATCGTTCATTTTCTCGGGTTAGAAAATGAAGAGCCTCATCCTTTTCAGCTATACAATCTTTGAGGTGGGAATTTTCAGCTCTAGCAATGCTAGCAGCCTCTTTTGTAACATTGGATTCATTAAGGGCCTGCTTAAGTATATCTCTAAGTTTGTAATTCTCTTGCCTTGTCGCCCAATTCGTGTTCTCTGATGATTTTAAGGACTCAGTCAGTCTATTTTTCTCATGTATTGCAGAGGCCCTTTCCTCTTCAGCTTTTTTTATACAACTGACAAGGCCCACTTCTTTCCCATTCCATGCGAAAAGTGTCTCTTCAGCCTCTAATCTCAATCTGTCTGCAGTGTTCCTACGCATTTCTGATTCTTTCTTTGCTTCATCCAAAAGCTTTTGGTACTTTTCCTCGGTGCTTCTCTCCATCAACCTCAATTGTGCTGCTTCAACTTTTACCTGTTCTAGCTCCATTTGTGTGGAGCTGAGTTTCTCCTTTGCTTGATTGGCTTCTGTGGCGACTTCTTTTAATGCCAATGCTAGGTCATCCATGGCCTTCTTGCTTTTTTCTTCGGCCTCGATTGCCAACTTCAGTTCATTTTTAAGCAATCCTTTCTCATCTAGCAGAGTCTTGGCTTCCGCCAAGGCAATTTTCTCGCCCTCTTGGGCTCGAGCCAGGTTCTCTTTCGCAAATTGGAGCTCAGACTTGAGACTTTCTAGTGCTTCTCTAATGAAATCAATGCCCTTACCATTTTTATTGCCATTAAGATCTCTACTAATTTGCTTGCATGAAATCTCAAGCTTTTCAATCTTCTCGTGGAGAGAAGCAATTTCAAGCTTGGATTCTTTGAGTTCACTCTTTGTTTGCTCTAAGTTTTTCATTTGGGCTGCCATTAAATTTATCATTTTCGATTCTGATAGCTTTCTTCCTTCCCTTTCAGCCTCGAGTTCTTGTATTCTTTTCTCACTTTCAGACAACGAATCCAATGCACAATCCTCCGATGCTTTCGCCTTACTCAAATCCTCTTTCAACCTGTCAACCAACGCATCTCTCTGTGCCAATTTAGGCTCAAACTGTTTCATCTCTTCAAGTTCAACTTTCAAAGAGTCGATGTTCTTTTCCTTCAGTTTCAACTCTTGTTCAGAATTAGACAACAATTCCTTCATGGTTTTAAGCTCTGCAGATAATTCCTTGGCCTTCCTTGCGGACAATGCTTCATTTAGCCTCATGTTGGCCTCATGAGCTACCTTTTTCATCTCCTCAAGTTCGTCGAGGGTTCGATCTCTTTCTTTTTCTGTCGCTCCCAATTGCCACTTCGTTCTCCTGAGCTCCCCCTCGAGCTGATCCATCTGCTGTTGCGTGACTCTATCTGTCCGATCCTATATCAATATTCAAAAATTACACACAATATGATATAAGTACTACATAAAATGTGAGTCCAACCCAAAAATTCAATCCAACCCAGAAACATAAAAGTGCATTCAAGTTCGTTAGGTAACGTCAGATGTATACAACACCTCATCCCGCATGCAAACAAACAATTACTGTAACTCGGAAACAAAGTACTAGTAATCATATGTACTTGGAATCATAATCGAGGTATTGAATACCTCGGATAAATTGGAAAACTTTGATGGCTTTTCATCAACGGATATAAGGGCCCTTGTATCAACTTGAGATATGTCTCTGCAAAGCTTTGATGAAATAGTCCTGGTAAGAACTGACGAATGATTCTTCTGTCCAAATCGAAAAGACCCAGATCTGTAAAACAGAGATAAATCACACAAATTCAATCGCCAAACTCATGAAACAACTATACTAGCGTGAAATAAGCATTACCCTTCAAAGCAAACATTTGTAAAGAGTTAAGTGACGCCAATAAAAACATTAAGACACAAATAATGCCAAGAATATAGCAGCAACAGAAAGGGAGAGAGAGTAAAAGGGTATGTTTAGTACCTTGATTTAGAGTGGAACATTTTGTATCTGGTGATTTCTGGGTTATGTATGTGAATCTCCTATCTTTGGTAAATCAAGAAAAAAAGAGATAAAAATAGCACAAAGTTCACAGATTTTTCAGTGAGAGACGTTCGTTGATACCTACTGGTTATGAAAATGTCCGAGGGTGGCGGGTTTTCGTTGGGCGGTTAGCCGTAAAGGCCAAAGTAAGAGAGAGAAACAGACAGAGAGAGATTTCAAAGAGGGAGGGGAAAAGAAACAGACACAGAATCATAGTAGACCAGTAGCTTGGAGGAAATCTCAGTAAATTTACTGAATTACCCTCGTGATTTAATTACTACATAGAATTCCTCGTGTCTGTCTTTGTCCTCTGGCCGGCAAACATGACATTGGAGATTGGAATAAAGAAAGTCAACTCTTCATCGCGTAGCTTAATCTCAAAAGTAAATGCTAAAGGGCGTGTTATGTGTGTGTGTGTGTGTGGGCGATTGATGTCACCTTTGACTAAGCAATTGGTTGATTNCATAAAGAAAGTCAACTCTTCATTGCGTAGCTTAATCTCAAAAGTAAATGCTAAAGGGCGTGTTATGTGTGTGTGTGTGTGTGTGTGGGCGATTGATGTCACCTTTGACTAAGCAATTGGTTGATTNAATAAAGAAAGTCAACTCTTCATCGCGTAGCTTAATCTCAAAAGTAAATGCTAAAGGGCGTGTTATGTGTGTGTGTGTGTGTGGGCGATTGATGTCACCTTTGACTAAGCAATTGGTTGATTTGACGAATTTTTTTATTTATTTATCACTTTTTTAAAATTTATGTACAATTTTATTGGATTTTTCAAATCTATTTACTATCAATTAACGTTTTTTTCTAAAAGGATATTTTTAAAAGACGATATCAGACAAGCTACTTGAAACACTCTATTAAAAAATATAATACTTTGATAATATATAAATTTATAAAGACTGTAAAATAATCTATAAAGTTTTTAAAAAATAATAAATTAATATAGAATTCATCATTAGGCACCAGCAAAGAAGACGGTGATTTTTGGATAAAATTGTTTATCAACATTTTTAATTTTGACAACTGGGAATTTTTGACCAAGTTTTAAATTAAAATTTGATGACGTTTTAAAGTTTCAGTGGAAAACTTTGATTAGTTACAATTGGGGTCATTTNATTAGGCACCAGCAAAGAAGACAGTGATTTTTGGATAAAATTGTTTATCAACATTTTTAATTTTGACAATTGGGAATTTTTGACCAAGTTTTAAATTAAAATTTGATGACGTTTTAAAGTTTCAGTGGAAAACTTTGATTAGTTACAATTGGGGTCATTTGCCATCTGCAAATTTTTAATTGCCATCTGCAAATTTTTATCCTGCAGTTATCTCCTTTGCTAAATTTTTATCCTGAGTTATCTCCTTTGCTAAATTTTTATCCTGAGTTTCTCCTTTGCTAAATTTTTATCTCTTTTTAATTGCCATCTGCAAATTTTTATCCTGCAGTTATCCGAGAAGTTACAANTTTTAATTTTAATTTAATTGAAGAAAAAACTGAAAAAAAAAATGAGTAATAATCCCCAGTAGAGCTAGTACTATTCAATTCAACATTTTGTTCATTCGGGTTGTGTCATACTTCAGATTATGTTTATCGGACCTAAACAAACCACTCAAGGTCGCTTCCCAGTCTTAGACTTGAGAATATAATTGAAGCAAGTGCTATTTTCGTGTAACACTCTGTCAATAAAGGGATATATTTTTAAACTATAGATTCAGATGCAACGACACAGGTACTACAATAACTGAAACATAAACTGATCCAGTCATTTGTCGATGAGTTCCTCCTGACTTCTGGTTCGACGTGGCGTCCCAATAAGATCAACCGACATCCACATTCACCGCTGCCTTCCTTGTATTATGATGAGTTCTTGAATTGCTCTAAAATTGCATTGCAACATTAGTTCATACTATGACTAAAATCTGATGAACTCCTGACGTCCAAATCACAATAGCGCAGATTCTCGATGATTCCCAAATAATTATTGTCAATGACTCCGAGAAAAAAAAAATGACAATCTGCAACTTCAGGGATGCTCAATCTTGTCATGCAAAGCTGCTTTCCTTCACCCCATATATATTGCCATTTGCCTATCAATATATCATAGTCTTCTGCATACACTTTCAGCACATAAATCTCTCTTTTTAATTGCCATCTGCAAATTTTTATCCTGCAGTTATCCGAGAAGTTACAAATCTTCCAAGCCCAAACCTTTCTTCCTTCATCAAATCAGAGGTACCCATGGAGGTGTGTTCAACTAAAATTGCTATATGCAGAAACTATATCCTCAATGTCATTCATGGCTTTCATCTGCAAGTTGATCCTCTTGAGCTCTGAATGAATCTCTCCAATATCTGGATGAGATATATCTCCTCCATTGAAATGATGGACTTTATTTTCAGTCTCTATCCAACTATATGCCGGTTGCTTCTTAACACCTTGCTCTTTCATCAAACCTCGAACTCTTGTAACTTCCCTCCACATACCGGCAGCAGCATAAATGTTAGACAACATAACATAAGCCCCAGAGTTCTTAGATTCCAATTCCACAGCTCTCTCTGCAGCTAGTTGCCCGAGCTCTACATTTAAATAAGCATGACAGCCTGCAAGAAGTGCACCCCAAACTCCAGAATCGGCTTCAAATGGCATTTCTTGGATCATTTGGTAAGCCTTCTCCACCTTACCCGCTCGACCAAGTATATCGACGAAGCAAGCACAATGCTCAGACCTAGGGACTATCCCATAATTTCTAACCATTGAGTCAAACCAGAACATGCTCTCATTTACCATTCCTGCGTGACCACATGCAGATAACAAACTAAGAAATGTTATCCCATCAGGATTGAATCCATTCAATTCCATTTGCTTGAAAAAAGCTAGAACTTTCGCATACAGTCCATGCTGTGCAAAAGCAGCAATGATGGTGTTCCATGAAACAAGGTCGGGATGGTCGATCTGTTGAAATGCTAACTCAGAGTCAAGAATACCACCACATCTCCTGTACATGGTAATCAGAGCATTACATACAGAGATATGTGAATCCAACCCATGTTTAAGAACAAGTGCATGAGTTTGTCTTCCCACTCTTAGTGATGCAAGATTAGAACAGGCAGTAAGAACTGAAACAAGGGTGGACTGATCTGGTTGAAAACCCCTTCTGAGCATTTGTATGTGTAACTGCAGTGCCTCCTCACCGATTCCATTTTGTGCAAAACCTGTAAAATTTGAAAGGCATTTTTATTTGAACTGCAAAAGTGCAGGCTTGCAGGAAAAAAGACAAGAAGCCAAATAAATATCCAGAAATGATCTTTCAGGTTTCCAAGGGATGGCACAGCCCTAACTCTAAGGGGCTTCTACTTAGCTAACTATTCATTTTGTAAGTTGGGATGGGTTAGTTAGGAACTAGTGTTTAAACGTTTATTAATTCTTAAATGCCTCCATTACCAAGTAAAGGGAAACTTCATATTGTAAATAAGGTAGGACGATATCACAAACAAGTCAACAAAATAATTTGGTAGATCAGATGATTGAAATAATGCCCTCCAACCAGAGTTCTAATTGTAAAATTGCTTTATAACCNAGGTGGCTACATACGTATACATGCACTCATGGTGACTAGGGCTCAAAATCGAGCCTCTCTCAATTTCGATTTACTACGTGAGGATAAAATATTGTTTAAATTCGCTAGCCTAAAAGTGAGTCGAAGCAAATCGAATTTTGCGAATTCAAGTCAAATATTTTAAATTCGTTTTTNTATCACAGTTAGGAAGGTAGCTCAGAACGATATCACAAACAAGTCAACAAAATAATTTGGTAGATCAGATGATTGAAATAATGCCCTCCAACCAGAGTTCTAATTGTAAAATTGCTTTATAACCACTTGAATTTTTTTTTGAGTATACAGCCACTACTATCATCCCCAGCCAACTTAAACGTGCTATCAATACAAGGGTATCAAACTCTGCATACCTGTTATCATGGCATTATAAGAGACACAATCCTTACACACAATTTCTTCAAATAAAATCCTGGCATCCTCTATCTTTCCTTCCTTACAATACCCTGTGATCATAGCTGTCATGGTAACAACATTCTTTTTAGGCATTTGACAGAACAATTCCCTAGCCTCCTTATATCTTTCATTCTCAACATACCCACTAATCATTACTGTCCAGGAAACATTATTTCTTTGCGGCATACAATCAAACAACATCCTCGCCTGCTCTATCTTTCCGCTCTGCGCAAACCCGTCAATCATCGCAGTATAGGATATCACATTCCTAACAGGTATCTCTTCAAACAGCCTACCAGCTTCGTCAATCCTATCGTACTTGACAAACCCAGAAATCATTGCATTCCATGATGCAATATTTTTCTCAGGCATCGCGCTAAAGTACATGTAAGCATCATCTATCCTATCATTCTCGACACAACCCGCAATCATCAAATTCCAAGAAACCACGTTTCTCAAGGGCATCAGTTCAAACCACCTTTTAGATTTTTCGAGGTACCCATTTTGCCAATAGCCAGTGACCATTGAATTCCATGTAACTACGTCTCTTGTTGGCATTTCATCGAACAATTTCCGGGCTGCTTCGATTTGGCCGGCACGCAACAAATCACCAATCCTGACATTGCAAGAGTACACATCTTGAGCTGGGTAAAAACTGAGGAACTGAGGGAATGAATGTCGGAAAGAACAATGTTGAAGTGAAAGCAAAGTAGGGAGGTTCGTACGGATAAGGGTTTGAATTTTAGAAAGTGCAAGGCATAGAACAAGCATTTGGGTCCAAGGACTAGGGCTAATAGTTCGCAACCAGCGGCTAAGGATTTAAAGTAGGTGGCTACATACGTATACATGCACTCATGGTGACTAGGGCTCAAAATCGAGCCTCTCTCAATTTCAATTTACTACGTGAGGATAAAATATTGTTTAAATTCGCCAGCCTAAAAATGAGTCGAAGCAAATCGAATTTTGCGAATTCAAGTCAAATATTTTAAATTCGTTTTTTAAATAATTCTAAAAAATTGGTTAAGTTTGGTGTATTTAAAACATGAACTGAATTTTAGTGAAATTTTTTATGAATTAAATCTGAATCGAGTCCAAGTCAACTTGATTATCAGCCCAATAACTAAAAATTATGTCTTTTTGTGGGAGTTCATGGGCTTGGTGCCCTTCCCAAACTAAGGGTGCGGCCGAAGTCATGTAGTGGACCTAAACTTTGCTACTAATGATCCAAGATGGAAAATCTTTGCTGCAATTCGTTGATAACTTTTTGCTGCAATTCTAAGTTGTCCCCAAACCAAGCAAATCAAGATTCCTTTCCTTGAGGAAGACTTCGGTACGCAAGGGCATTATCGATGGTATCAATTATAAAAATTACACTTTTTAAAGGTTATGTTACTACTCCAAGTTATATTACAACTCGTAAATAAAAAATTATAGTCGATTAAAGTAATTTATGATAGATCACAATTTTTATTGATCGATCACAAATTATTTCAAGCAATTGTAACTTGGCTTCAAAAAATAGTACCTTTCGGTACTATATCATAGTGTTATCCTTATGTGTTTCAACATTTTTTTTTTAAAACTCCATTATGTGATATTGGATGGTAGACATTAACTCAATTGCAATAAGATTATTCCATTATATCTTGAATATTATAGTGAAAATTGGAAGTGAGTCCCCCTAGATGTACTTGTTTGGAGATAAGTGTTGCAAGGAAACTTATAAGGGGTTAAGTTCATATTTAAAATTATATGTAATAATCTAAGTCCACTTTATTTTTTTATCTCAAAAATACCCTTCCTTAAAAGGAAGTTAATTTTTTCAATCTTATATATATCTATATTCATATATAGGTTAAGAGTTTTACTAACATTAAAATTCTCCCTCTCTCTTGTCTATATATATATATATATTACAATAAATTTAAATAGTAACATTAAAAATAAAAAATAGTAACATTTAAATACAAAAAAAATTACAATAAATTTGAATAGTAAAATTCAAATTCATATTACTGTTTTTTTATTATGTTATTGTTCATGTTACTGCTTTTGTTGAGTATGTTACTGTTCATGTTACTATTATTTTGAGTATGTTACTGTTTTTGTTGAACATGTTACTACTATTATTTTCTTAAATATTAATATTCAATGTTACAATTTTTTTTTTAATATTGTTATTTTTTGTATTTGAATGATACTATTTTTTGCGTTTGAATTTGAAAGAAATAATTATTGTTAAGTATGTTACAATTTTTGTTAAGCATATTTCTATTTTTGTTGAACATGTTATTGTTGTTATTTTTTAAAAATATTAATATTGAATGTTTCAATTTTTTTTATGTTTAAATGTTACTATTTTTTTTGTGTTTAAATGTATTGTTTTTTATGTCTAAATGATAAATTTTTGTTGTATTTGAATATTACTATTTTTTATTTTTAATGTTACTATATATATACCTAACCTATATATGAATATAGATAGATAAAAGAGAGAAAATTTTTTAATATTATTTAAATTCTTAGTATATATATGGATATAGATAGATATGAGAGAGAAAATATTTTAATGTTAGTTAAACTTCTAAAATTTAAGAGTTTTTAATTTTTAGTTTTATTTCATTTCTAAAGGGAAGGGATAGTATGGTAAAATTGACAAAAAATGGACTTCATAACAAATAAGTTTACTTGACGGACTTAATTCCAAACAAGTCCATATAATAGAACCGGCCTCCAAATTTCCCAATATTATAACTGCATACATCTCATACCAATGGCTCTTTGATCTAATGATATTCTTTGTCTTATAAAAATTTTATCTTCTTGAAGTTAAGGGTTCAAGTCTCCTTCCCCTCCCCAAAAAAAAACCTACATCTCATTCTCTCAAAATCTCGCACATTTAAAACTTGTTGCATTTGATTTACCCATTTCATTGGAACTTGTCANTACATCTCATTCTCTCAAAATCTCGCACATTTAAAACTTGTTGCATTTGATTTACCCATTTCATTGGAACTTGTCAATCCTGGTCAAAGATGGCAAACATGAGCGGGGGTAATTGGCCAGTGATAAGTGATCTCCTCGCCCAAATAGGGGTGGTTGGGGGTAGGAAAAAAGGGTACAATAATGTGGCATCAGCCATGTTCAAATTCTACATCTGAGAATTTCACCGACAATTTTTTCTGGTAAGAACCCTGACTTAATTACTAGGGCGTTATCCTCTTCTTTTTCTTTTTTTTCTTTCTTTTTTCTTTTTTTTTAAAGAAGAATCAAGGAGTACCTACTAATAATGGTGAATATTGAGAACATGAAGAAAAATCAAGGAGTACCTACTAATAGTGGTGAATATTGAGAACATGTATTCCCTTGGCGCATTGGATCATCAAAGTATGGTGAAATTCTCATCTCTGGTAGCACCGCCCATGAGGGCTCATCAACTCATTTCTCAATCAGATATTAGTCACTACAAATATAATTGGAACTTCTCTTGTCACCAGCCCCATCTGGCTTTTCTTACTTCACAGCTGATCTCTCACAAAGCTACTCACATCGAATCTTTTGGAGTAACATCCTCCACTTGGGTTCGTCTCACGAAGCTCTATTTTGATACATTGGCGGACTANCAAAGCTACTCACATCGAATCTTTTGGAGTAACATCCTCCACTTGGGTTCGTCTCTCGAAGCTCTATTTTGATACATTGGCGGACTACTTTATTTGAAGCTTTCAATGTCTTGTTCTCAATGACCGTATCTGGCAACTCCTTCCCCACCCACCCCCCGTGTCAGGTGAATTCCTCGAATTCAATGACACTTTCCACCATCCATAGCAACATTAAAACATGAAATACATCCAACTTAAACATTACAGCATTTGAAATATTTCACAGATCATAATAAAAGTGGATATTNTCCATAGCAACATTAAAACATGAAATACATCCAACTTAAACATTACAGCATTTGAAATATTTCACAGATCATAATAAAAGTGGATATTTCCTCTATGAATGAAACAAACTTTTGCATTCAGAGATTAGACAACTCATAATAGGAGGAAACACAAACAAATGGTCTCATCAACCATACATATCAAGTAAAAACTACATCCATGCATTGCCCAATACAACTGAAAGCATATGACACTATGGCACACAGTTGGATTCCGCCAAAAAAAACAGACATAAATACCATCACAAAAGTTCCACTGGATATAAGAAAGTTCATAAAATATTAATGCATAACAGTACTAAACCTATAACCATTATTAATTCAACCAATCATGTATCAAAACACCAACAAAAAAAANACTTCATTATTTGGAATTTACCTTGAAATCTTGGGCAATTTCACGGACAAGCCTCTGGAATGGGAGCTTCCTGATCAGAAGCTCAGTGCTTTTCTGGTACTTTCTGATTTCACTGCATAGCATTTGTCACCTCAGATTAATTCAAACAGAACATTTGAAGAACACAACTAATGTCAGAGTTGGGTATCAAACACATCCAAAATACCCACCGGAGGGCAACAGTACCAGGGCGATATCTGTGGGGCTTCTTCACTCCTCCAGTTGTCGGAGCAGACTTACGGGCAGCCTGAAAGAAAGTTCTTCATATAAGTTACTAAAATACAGACATATAAAATAACAACAACATAAACAACAAAATTAAAAATATCCAGGTGACTAATGCTAATAAACAGAGAAAGACTAACCTTAGTAGCAAGTTGCTTCCTGGGAGCCTTTCCTCCAGTTGACTTACGAGCAGTTTGCTTGGTACGAGCCATCTGTGAATTCCAAGATATCAAAACAAAAAATTGATACAAATTATCAAGGAATTGCCTACACACTACAATGCCAAATCTATACTGACTACACTATATATATAGCAATCAAATCAGGTGGGAGGTGTTTTGAAAAGCCTTGCCAGAGTTTTCAATTATTTAATTATCAATTCTAACAAATGTTCCATGTAACTACCCCTCTAACCCCATTAATCAACTACCCCTCAATTAAATTTCTTTGAAAAATCAGCCAATTATTTGCAATAAAAAAAAATATAGTTTACCACCCTAACTTTTCATAATTCTTCTATCACCCAATTTTTCACAATTTTCAATGATTCTATCTAACTTTTCAAATGATAGAATCAAATGGTGGGATGGCAAGGGAACGAGGATGGAGAGGAAAGGGAATGTGTGGAAATTTCTTACATCGCACAGAGCCGCCGATTGTTTTATGGAAAATGAACAAGAACTTCTAAAGACTAGATTCGAAGGATGTACACACTAACATATTACATCTACAATGAACCCTAAATTCGAAGCATCGAAAACATACTACAAAATCTGACTCGAAAATTTACTATAAAGAATAAAATCACCAAAAAAAAATAAGATTAAGGCCTCAAATAAAAACANCTACAAAATCTGACTCGAAAATTTACTATAAAGAATAAAATCACCAAAAAAAAATAGGATTACCGCCTCAAATAAAAAAAAAAAACCAAAAACTAACCCTAACAATTTTTAATAAGAATAAATCAACACAAATCTAAACTCTAATCCGATTCATACACAAATACAGATACGTATATCTATATGCATAATACAAGTACATACACAATTACATAAATTATGCGAATATATGAAGAAAGACTTACCACTCAGACGAACAACAGAACTCTCTCCCNATATGCATAATACAAGTACATACACAATTACATAAATTATGCGAATATATGAAGAAAGACTTACCTATCAGACGAACAACAGAACTCTCTCCCTCTCTCTCTCTCTCTCTCTCTAGAATGAAAAGTTGTTGCGGAAACGTCTGTGAAAGGATTGTAGATGTATATATAGTGTCGATTGTGTCGGCGATAAATAGGATCGAACGGTTGACATTCATAATCCGTGAGTTGTTTAAAAGTACGGTATCCGACGATGGTTAATGGGGTTTGTTGTGTTTTCTCCAGTGGAAGTTGACGGCTCGGATTCGAAGTTGGGGGCTCAAGTCGGATCGCGAGGCTTCAATACTCAATTTCTATTGGTTGAAATTTTGAGGTGCGTGTTTTATGAAGATTAAAGGATGAACCACACTATTTATCCATTATTTTCATATTACACCAGAAATGTAATACAATAGTTGCAATGTAGCCCAAATACTACCTTGCATTGCAATTTCCATCAAATCTCCTATGTAGCCCACACGGATCTGGCTCCTCTGCTGTTAATTTTTAACAACAGAGGTGATGTTTAATTAAAACAACATTGTTTTGCACTAAAATGATATTGTTTAATTAAACAATGGTGTTTTAATCAACAACATATCTACGGTTGATTTTCTAACAACAGGAAATCTTTACCCAACCCACACACTAAATGCAATAAGTTTGACATAAATGAAACGAAGTTAGCGTGAGAGTTACATTATAATTATTTTANGAAATCTTTACCCAACCCACACACTAAATGCAATAAGTTTGACATAAATGAAACGGAGTTAGCGTGAGAGTTACATTATAATTATTTTATAATATTGAGAATGAATATAAAAAAAATAATTATTTGGGGTACAAATTAAAATTTTTGAATTAGTTATTTGGCCCCTAAATTATACCATAATTTTCAATTGAACTTTTAAACAAAAATTTATCTCATTTCAACTCTTAAGCTTTTTAATTTGAATTAATGTAAATTTTCTGTAGAGTTCGTGAACTTTCAATTGTTTCAATTTAATCCCTCAATTATCAATTTCATGTTGACAAATTTTTTTATCTACTTTGTCTGTTAGAATAAATGGAGATATATAACTTAGACAACCACATAACAAACATATGAACTTACATCTCTTTATTCAAACGAGCAAAATAGACAAGAAAAATTTTATTGACACGAAATTGATAATTGAAAAAAAAAATTGAGTCAATTGAAAGTTTTTTTTGAGAGTCAATTGAAAGTTTAAAAACTATTTTAAAACAAACGACAAAATTAAGAACTAATTTTGATATTTACTCTATTTTAAATACCTAAATGTTAAACCCAACATCATCTCTTTCTCTCTCTCTCTAGTTGTGGGTGTTTATACTTGTGCCGACTAGTTCTTTGAGGTCGATTAGAGCATGTCCCTAAAATAAGAAGAATGACTAGCCCTCAATAAATATAAAAGAAAATTAAATCTAAAATCTCTAAGTAATTAAATATCAGACTCAACCATTCAACTACACATTCCCTCTCTCTTGTTCAACTTGCGCTTGTTGGTTGAGTTCATAACCAGTGAATTTGAAGTACCAGAAGTTCATAATATGTTCCTTACAGAGCAAAAAGGATAACCAATATTAATGTAACCGATGCCCAAAAAGACATCTGATAAAGACACCAATGAGTTGGGCTTAACCACCGAAACTAGGTCCAATGATCTCTCTCTCTCTCTCTCTCTCTCACACACACACACAAGGGGGTGTTGGATAAACCATGGTGCCACTATGAACCAATCAAAGTAAGTTGAGGATAAACCTACTAGATCTCAGTATACAGTGAATCAGTGACTTGCAGTTATAGAATTTTAGAACACTCATCTGCATCTAGCTCTCCAAGTGTCATACCCCATGAAGAACAACAATAATGTCACCAGGCCACACCCCAAAACAAGAAAACAAAGGAAAAAAAAAACCTCATTCAGCCAGGTGCTGCCATTATACAAAGATATGAACAAATCATAAGAATTTTATAGCAACTATAAGAAGCAGAACAATCAACCAAGAAAGCCCTACGCAGAATTCACCCATTAAGACCATCTGCGCCAACAAACCCAGCATCAAACGCCATCTAACTGGAACAACTGCTGCACGCGAACAACAGAGACATCCGGTTTTTCCGAAGTGAGATAGAGGAACAAAATCACACCCTATAACCAACAAAATTCATTGTGTCACGAGCTAAAAACAGTACTCTTGTTTAAGTCCAATGAGATGCCAACTGCTAATCTACTCGGATTCTTAGCCCATGAAACAAATGCAACTATAATCTCTGAAAGGAGGTATTCTCATTGTCCAGACTTGAATATACAGTTTGAAGTCCGTAGCTATGTGTCATAAAAGTGAAAAGAGTCAGCAACACTGAAGTGCTTGGCAAGCCGGAGGATAACTGATTGCACAGCTTCGGAATCTGGAGAGACAGAACTGGGAAGTTTGGGTAGGCAAACAGGCAAATATTGGTCACTATCCTCCCAGGGACAAAATAGAGTAAGCACGGAGCGAGAGAAAATAAATCTGGCCAGAGGACATCAAATAAGCATATTAGTCAAAAGGTTGAAGCATTCCTATCAGCGAAAATTTTAAGAAATTAGAATCAAATTAAACATGGAGTAAACATAACAATTGTCACATAGTTGTCTTCTCTATTGTCATCCTTTTCCTTGTGATCCTTCATTATATCAATCGCACCCTCAAACAAAAAGTCATTTCCATGTTTGCATTGCACGCCAAAATAAAAGAACCATTTAATTTTAGTACCAAATCACTAAGGAATGGAGAATTTTAGACAATGACAACACGTGTAAGACTTAAGTTTAGATTTTTTTTTTTTTTTTGGTCAGAAAAGTTTAGAAGTTCAATTTTATTTAAAATGCAACCATCGATTAAGCCTGCTCACTGAGAAATCTTGTCTTTTTCCTGACTTGAAACGGACACTTTCCAAGTTAAATTATCTCGAGAGATTGTATGTCTTTCAAAGAGACTTAATACTAGAACTGGTTAAAGAAATCAAATCCAGCATTTCCAAAAACCCTTGCATCAAATTAATTCTATGTTGGTCCGACAATTGTGAAATTAATAAAATATTTGCACAATCAAAAAACCATCCTCTAAATACTCGTGTTAGTTGTGAATGCTAAATATGGTCCCACTCTCCATTCTTCTTACTGTTCAAAGCACCTTGAGAATCCGAGAATAACTAATTAAGAATACGTCACTGTGATTGAAAGGGAAGATAATTACCTAAGAATAAGCCTTCGCAAAAATGGATCGGATAAAACTTGAGCCCAAACCAGATCTAGGCTGGTCGATGTACAGAGTATTACCTCCCACTCGGAGAAGGCAGTTGCAATAATGCTTACAGCATCACTGTATACCTCCTGAAAGAAACACCCCTGGACAAATAAGATTAAAGAACGCCATAATAACTCTACAAAGTGCAAGGGGTTCACAATCAGCCTACCGCTCCATGATCAGATGATGCGAGGCCAACCAACTGGCAGAAAGCCTGCAAAGGAGCAGTCAAGAAAAAGGTAAATTGACTACCATTTTGTGTTACATCAGTGCCTGCTCGGTTCTTCAATGATGGCCTCACAGGTGAAAGAAGTAAAGCAGTTGTTTCCCCCCTTTCTACACCATGTAGAACCTGAACAGAAATTGGCATATGAGCATCTAGACAGAGAAAGAATTTATTATTTTACAAGAAGTATCACAGAAGAACTGATAGTAAACATGAAACCACCAAGCCAAGTACATAGATACAATAATTCCATCTTCGAGTCTGTTTAAAAATGGGTTATGTAAAATACTGCAATGGACATTTACTTCTTATTTGTTAGGGTGGGGGTGGGGCTGGGGAGGAATATGACTTATATTACTGCACAGATACTTTTTCTGGTAGATACCATATATATGAAACACTTAACATTGGAAAAATAAGCTCCTGGATATTCATGATAGAGCAAAGCAGGCCCAAAATAATGAACTTTGCTTTGACTAGTTAAGAAATTGGTATTCCCCAAAGAAGAGAGTAATTATAAATAACATGTCTTACTGGTAAAAGAGTACACCACAATCTTCTGGCATTGGAACTCAATATTTCACAAAACAGATTTCACCCACATTCTTAGCTCAGGGAGCCCTCTACAAATAGGCTTGTTAGGAGAAATTGAATCAAATTGAGGATAACTTGAATTCATTTTTATAAATATTATAATTTACCAATTCAAATAGTCAGTGTATAGTGAGCAGGGAGAAGAGGAAAAAGAGCAGGAAATAAAAGATACTTTTCTTAGTTCGTGAAAAGAAGTTCCAATATCATGAATTGAACAATACATCCCAATTTATTAGGAGTCTAGTTTTAAAATGAAAATGGGGCACCTGGTCTACGAAAAAATAAAAAATATCAGAACTATTATGACCAAAATAGGGTGTTATGAGTAGTTTTAGGAATTTACACATGTAGTTGTTGTATGTGTTTCTAGAGAAGGTATGGGTTTCCCCAACACCGTTGTAGCACATAGGTGAATGCATTGATTAGCTTACAAAGTATAAGGCAGGAACAGGAGGGACAGAGAGAAGGGGGGGGTGTCTAAGTGGGCCTTAGTCCCTTTATTTCTTTTTTCGTCCTATCTGTTATTGCTGAACAAATATCTATGTTTAAGCCTGATTGTTTTGGGGAGATGTTTCCATACTCGAGGTCTCTTTTCTTTTTCCCTTTTATTTTTCAGACGGCACTGCAGATGATTTGAAGCGATTGGAATAGCAATCCACCTTTGAGAATGCTTTGAACCAAATCAGTGTTGCAGTTGAGGAGAATCCATTGACTTTAAGAAAAATCAAAATTTAGAGGAAGTTATTTTCTCATGAAGAAATGTGACAATTAAGGGAAGTTGCATAGTCAGTATTTGCTTCAAAGTGTAGTAACTCCTTAGTTATAGTAATACGGCTGCAAAGCAAGTAGGGAAGTTGTGAATTTTGAAAGCAAAAATAACAGAATTAAAACATCTGTACAACTATGCAAAAAACCAATGTAGTGCAACAAATTACATACAAGTTATGACAAACCTGCCTTGAATACGTGGCTGTTATCACTATCAATTATCAAGAAAAGAGGTCTCCTGGTGAAAGGTAATATGTCACCAGGGTAGAGATTATTTGAGTCTGAAAAAAAGAGAAAGTATCAGTCAGGGTGAGTAATCTGATCATATGTTCAGACCCCTCAAGAACAAAAACAAGTCATAGAGTATGTTATTCCTACCTCCATTTCTGCTAGGACCTAGTGACAAACAATTCTCAAAAAAATGACTTGAGTCTCCATTGCCATTGACATAGTTCCCGTTCAAGCTATTCTGTTCATGGTAATTATGGGAAACAGCATTAAGCTTTGAAGATTTTCCTGAAGTCCCAGAGATTTCCATTTGCGAAAGACTACTATGACTGGCCTTCCCTGAAAATAGGTCACCAATGTCAGTTTTCTAGGATCATAAGATATGTTCAGTTCACTTGTATATTAACAGTTAAAAGGAAAAAATAACCTGATGCTGAAATGTATAGTAGCATAACACTATCTGCAGGGAGCTCCTCACATATCGTAGCAATAACCTGGCCACACATGAGAAATCAAGCATAGTTTGTATAGATCAGATATACAAACATAAAGATAAAATAAATAGGTACATAATGGTATCCAAGGCAAACATTCATCCTAGTTTACTCAACTCCTACAGCACACATAAAATTGAACATACACATCAAACTTCAAATAAAGTTGGGATACAATCAGCATTTTCACGAGTTCAGATATCTTTGAGAATATTTCCGCATTATATGATATCCACAAAGATACTTATTTGACAGGTATAGTAAAAAAAAATTAGTATGTAGCCAGCAAGAACACAGATATCACAGTAGGCAATAACAAAGTTGTAAAAAGGCATGCTACTCAAGAATTTTCGGGCCTTGTGAAGAGAAAGAGATCAGACACCTTTCCCAGGAGCCCCATACCACTATGAAACCTATATGTATTCTGTCGCTCATCTCTTCTCTTCTCTCTCTCTACCAGCCTTGACCATGTAATCAGCTGGTTAGGATGATAAGCATTCTCCTGAATCCTTGACCAGAAGCAGCATTTATATAGGCTCCTTGCACAAAATAAGGTAACACCAATAAACATAATACTGTCAAGGCTTTATACTTACGGCTATCAATTGTGCTACAGATGGACGATAAAGAACAGCCTTCCTTGGGTTTCGAGGCAAAGTTGGATCTGTCATTTCCGCAGCCAAATTTATATCAATTAGTCCGGACGTAACAGAGTGATCAGCCAAACCACCATTCTCGTGTAATTTAACTGGATGATTTTGATAGAAAGATCCACTTGGTTCCCATTCCAGACATTGCAACATTCTGAAAGTGTCCAAAGTAAGTTCTGCATATTTTACCTATATAGGGAGAGGAGATTATTTTGCAATGTTAATTTCGATTTTGAAATCACCAAATAATGTCACAGTAACAGCCAATCATGGTAAATATTGAAAATTACTAACTTCATTCCAGTGATAGCTTGTCAGCAGTGCATCTTGAAACTTTAAAACCTTCTTCGCATGGAAACGGGCCACATATGGAAGAGAGGTAGGATACGAATCAAGAATAGCACAATATCGCAAAGGCCTAATGTCCATGAAAGCAGTATTGGCTTTCACAAATCGGGAAATTTCTTGTACCACCAGATTCCATTCTTTGAAGTTGGTTTCCTGGAAAGAAACAATCCAAATATCATTGGTCTGATATTGAAATTACTAAAAATGGGTTAACATTCCATTTTATTTACGCCAAAGATGGTAGATATTCATGAAACCATTTGAAGTAGACTCGCACAAAACTATATACTCCCACATAAGCTGAACAATAAGTGATCAATAAAATAGCCCGTATAAAGTACCAACCAAAGAGAAAAAAGAGAAGTGATTCAACTATACTTCCAAAACAACCTCCCTTTTTTTCTTTTCTAAAAATATTATAATTCACCAAAGTACATGATGTAACCAAGCAACACTTAAGATTTGGAAGAAGCAATGGCTGGCAATATTGCTGGAGCTATGTTTAATGTTGCCAAAGCAATTTAAATGCCCAAAACTTGAAAGGATAACCATGCCGTTCGACTTCAGAAGAATATACCAGAAACCATAATCTTCTATCCACATGATCCCTCATCCTTCAGTGAGGTCATGTCTGGCGACACAACACCAAACACAACATGAAGGGTGCAGCAGCATTTCCTTCACCATCAACCACGGCCATATATATTCCGTTGCTGTCTTAAATCATCTCTCTCTCTCTCATTCACACACACACACACTTTCTTAAACACTAACAGCATTTGTATTCAATGAAAGAGACTTTGTTTTGTTAGATCTGTGAACACCTAGCAGACAGTTCAGGTTGTAAATTGGTCACCTTGGAAAAAAAATGTTTTCCAGGTATAACACATAATTGAGCTTCTGCCAGCTAAAGGGTGGTTTGTCAAAATTCCAGTCAGCCATCTGGGGTTGAAGCCCACTGGATGGAATCCCTTCCCATTGTTCATTCATTTACATTGATCAATTAGGGTTTTTTTCATTTTTCCCTTTTGCCATAGTGGCTATATTGGGAACAAAGACAGTGCAAAAACTAGAATGTGGCCAGCAGAGAAAGGATTTCTGGTTGGAGTGGCTTTGCCCTCATTGTCGATGGCAATTACAGCAGTACTAGTCATAATTGAAAACCAGCAACAAGGTGATGTTACAGCATTGTCATTCCGTAGAAAAGGGGGTGGGGTAAAATTTTAGGCTTAGACATATTTTCATTTTACCACATCTGCTTTTAGATCGACTCTGGCAACAACAAATCATTGTCAAACACAGGTGGAGATTCCTGAGAAAAAACCTAAAAGAAGATTTGCTGAAAACGGTACACAGGTTGGATCCAGCCTATGTGGAAATTACAATTTTTTTTATCAGAATGGAAATAACAAATCAAAGACACTCTTTTTCCAGAAACATCAATGCACCAAGCAGCAGTGGCCGAGCCATTTAAAGATCAGTAGAGTTCTTCCCCACCCCCACCAAAAAGAGGGAAAACAGGTTTGAAATTTCTCTTTTTTGCCTTTTAAATTTGATGCTATCTTCAAGAAAGTCATAAGTTGGCCCACCTCTAATATATTGATATAGTCAATTTGGTCCCTCCTCTTTATCGCAGATTGTATTTTGCTTACACTTTTAGCCCTCCTGCCCATGAACACAGCATGGCTTACTGAATTTATAGATTTCCCTGCCAAAGTAATCCATCTGTTCCTTGCCGCTCATGCACCACAGAATCTTAAACATGAAAGATTCTTATAAAAATTCAAATTCCTTAACAATACTTTCAATACGCCTCCTAAATTCCCCCCCCCCCCCCCCCCCCCCCCCCCCCCCTCCCCACCCCCCCCCCCCCCNTAAATCCCCCCCCCCCCCCCCCAAATGCCCTAATGTCCAGTCTCCATTAATTTTTGTGAATTAACCTATCTTAAGTTCTCATGCTGTCATCCACAATTTCAAAAGGATTGACAGAAGATAATGAATGGGCAGCAAATGCAGTATAAAATATGAACAATTAAATAAAAAATTATCTGCTTCAAAAGTCTATTCGAGGCAAATATTTCACAGTTCTCATCCGTGTTAAATGAAATTAAAAAAAAAAAACGCGCCTTATTAAAGAAATTAGCCTAAAAGTGGCCTCAAATGTACAAATGATCGAAGCAAATTAATAATAGTGCCGCCACCGGAGACAAAAACACAAAATGTTCAATCCGAGGAAATGCACCTTAAACCAATCGATAGCACAGCTACCTCAATTTCAACAGAATTACGTCAAATAAAGAGATAAAAAATCGAGAACGTCAAATAAAGAGATAAAAAATCGAGAGAGAGAGAGAGAGAGGGGTGGGCTAAAGTTAAACAAACACTTAAACTGCAAAGTTCCCACAAAATCCATCAAATTAGCTCAAATCTACAGAATTTCTAAGCAAAAATAGAGAAATCCGTACCCGAAAAGTGGTTTTACTGTCATCAACAAGAGCCTTAAACCTCTCCACAAGCACTTTCACAATCTCCGTCCGATTCAAAATCAACGAAACCACCAAAAACCTCGCGTAAAACCTCAATTCCTTGAACCTGACCCCTCGACTCTTCCCGGAACCCTCGAAATACCTTCTATTCAGTATCGCCTCGTAAAATACATACGATTCGATCAAGGACCTGGCTTCGCTTGTCCTCATGTACTGATTGAAGTAGAGCTGGCCGATCCTAGACGCGATCTCGCCGATTTCCCAGCGTTGTAGGCCCGAGTCGACGAGCTTTGAGCGGTTCTCTTGCTGGTACTTCCATAGCTTCATGTAGGCTTTGAAGACCTTCTGGAAGTACTGGTTGTCCGTGCCTCGTCCGTACAACGGAACGTCGCGAACCCTGGCGAATTTCCGTTCGGCTGTCTCCACCAGAGCTCGGAAAGTCCTCGGAACGACGTCGTCCGCCATCAATTAGCGAGGCATTTGCCACCGGAGGTCATCAAAAAACTACCAAAACGCCACTGCTCTGTGGGAATTTTATACATACAAATCTATGTATGAATATCTACATATAGCCATAGAGAAATAGAAAGGTCATGAAAGAGAGAGAGAGATTGGACTTTGGTGTTGTCAGCTCTGAATTTGAGGACTTGTGGGTCTGATAAAATCAATTCTGTTTTTTTCCTGTTCTTTTTTCGGATTTCAGTTTGTTCACTCATCAGTGTTTTACACTACAGAGAGAGAGAGAGAGAGAGAGGGAGAGGTGACAGCGTATTTAATGGAAATATTTTTTATTTTATTTAGTTTTATTATTTTTATGAAAATTAATTGTAGATTTACAATTCTTATTTACTTTTTAGTATAGGACTGATAAATAAATTATTTGATACTATACATCCATTCCGATGATAAGAGAATTTTCAAGAGAAAGGACTAAAACTTTTAAATTACTAAAATTTAGTTATTTATAGATAAAAATAGATTTAGGCAATANTTATGAAAATTAATTGTAGATTTACAATTCTTATTTACTTTTTAGTATAGGACTGATAAATAAATTATTTGATACTATACATCCATTCCGATGATAAGAGAATTTTCAAGAGAAAGGACTAAAACTTTTAAATTACTAAAATTTAGTTATTTAAAGATAAAAATAGATTTAGGCAATAATTTGTGCAATACAACTTTATCCATAAANAAATTATTTGATACTATACATCCATTCCGATGATAAGAGAATTTTCAAGAGAAAGGACTAAAACTTTTAAATTACTAAAATTTAGTTATTTATAGATAAAAATAGATTTAGGCAATAATTATGTTCTAACGGTAGATGTTTAGAGTAAGTAAAATACAATTTTGCTATCGTGATGCTCTATAGCATTATGTATAAATAATTTATAATATATTATCCTCCTTTTCATTTTTTTTTCATCTCTCTTATCCACTTTTTTTTTCCTTATATTTTTTCTCTTTCTCCTTCTAATATTTCCAACAAAAGTATTAAATATGAGAATTGATATTTAAAAGAAAGTAATTAAAGTATAAATAATATGTTGAAGCGTGTATTAAAAAGTGAGTTGTTAAAATAGAAAAATTGCACTTTTAAATAGATAAAACACAAAACTTTATTAGAGATGCTCTAAGTACATGTTAGTAATATTTTATGTTCGAATTGAAATTTTGAATTTGATTATTAATTTTTTTTAATAAGATTTTTTTTTAGTGAACAACCTTAAATTTGTATGTAAATCTTTTTAGAATTTTTATACTATTGTAAGAGTTTCTTTCTTTCGATTTTTCTCTCCAAACTTTCTTTTCCTATTCTATATATTTTATCTAATCCTTTCCTCCAAAACGAATAAATATTAGGTGTAATAGTTACACTATATCAGTAATATTAATGTGGTGTAACTATCTAATAAAACAATTATAAAATAAATAAAAAGAGACCTAATTTTTATGATAGAAATGGTTATGTATTACATGACTGAATTATTATGAAATTTTGTGGGGCTCACTTATAAATTTGTTTATTTATTTATGTACTAGTTATTGTCTGTGTTTGAAGGCATACAGTAATAAAAAATAGTAAATAATAAATATATTTGTATTCATATCCAAAATTAAATCGCAAACATAGAGAAGAGATAAAAAAATTTAAACATCATTTTTGTAGTAAGGGTAAGAGATAATGGACAGTAGTTGTGATGGTAGGGGTGGTGGTGGTACTGACGGCGACGACGGCAACAGTTGTGGCGGCGGTGGAAATAGAGGTGGAGGTGGCGACAGTGGGGGGTGGCGGTAATGGCGGTGGTGGAGGTGGGGGTGGTGGCGACGGCAGTGGTGGTGATGATGGTGGCGACGGCGATGACAGGGTGGTGGCGATGGTGGAGACGGTGGAGGTGACGGTGGTGGGGGGTGGCGGGTGGCGGTGATGGTGGCGGTGGTAGAGGTAATGGTGGAGCGGTTCAAAACAATATATTTTTTTTAAAAGTGCTTATGAGACATAATTTTTAGAAACACTTTTAAAAATTTACTCTAAACATACCCTTAGGGGCCTATTTTTTTTTAATTAAATTTAGAGTTTTAATATTAGCTGTTAGATTAATTTTGAAATAAAATTTAAAACAATTTCAAGCACGAATAGTAAAAATTATTTTGTTTATCTTTTGAGATTTGAATTGTAAATTATTTTATTATATAGATGATTATACCATGTGTCACTGATGTCCATGATATAACAGTTATACCCAATATTTTTTCCTCCAAAACCTCCTTGAGCCACCAAATTTGTTTAGTCTGTTCTTTCTGGAATTGAGAATAAGTTTTATGTTATGGTATTAGAAGAATTAGATTTAAAAATCATAGTATTTTGATTAAAAAAACTAGCAGTTTGGATAGTTGCCAGTACAGATGCATACAAGCCAAAGCTTAGCAGCTGTCAACAGTATCTAATGTCGGAACTTTTTCTGATTTTTTATTTGAATTGTCAGTCCAATTTATTTGTTCAATAATTTCATGGATACAAGTTTGTTTTTTATTTATTTATAAATATTTAAGTTTGTATCGACTATTCATTCAATCTCAAATATTGGTCATTATAATCTGAACGAAAAATGTCATCTGAAAAACAAGAGCGGTTAACTCTTAAAAAATATAAAAAGTGTTGAATTTAAGACTGACTATTGTTATCATAAAAANTCACTTATAAATTTGTTTATTTATTTATGTACTAGTTATTGTCTGTGTTTGAAGGCATACAGTAATAAAAAATAGTAAATAATAAATATATTTGTATTCATATCCAAAATTAAATCGCAAACATAGAGAAGAGATAAAAAAATTTAAACATCATTTTTGTAGTAAGGGTAAGAGATAATGGACAGTAGTTGTGATGGTAGGGGTGGTGGTGGTACTGACGGCGACGACGGCAACAGTTGTGGCGGCGGTGGAAATAGAGGTGGAGGTGGCGACAGTGGGGGGTGGCGGTAATGGCGGTGGTGGAGGTGGGGGTGGTGGCGACGGCAGTGGTGGTGATGATGGTGGCGACGGCGATGACAGGGTGGTGGCGATGGTGGAGACGGTGGAGGTGACGGTGGTGGGGGGTGGCGGGTGGCGGTGATGGTGGCGGTGGTAGAGGTAATGGTGGAGCGGTTCAAAACAATATATTTTTTTTAAAAGTGCTTATGAGACATAATTTTTAGAAACACTTTTAAAAATTTACTCTAAACATACCCTTAGGGGCCTATTTTTTTTTAATTAAATTTAGAGTTTTAATATTAGCTGTTAGATTAATTTTGAAATAAAATTTAAAACAATTTCAAGCACGAATAGTAAAAATTATTTTGTTTATCTTTTGAGATTTGAATTGTAAATTATTTTATTATATAGATGATTATACCATGTGTCACTGATGTCCATGATATAACAGTTATACCCAATATTTTTTCCTCCAAAACCTCCTTGAGCCACCAAATTTGTTTAGTCTGTTCTTTCTGGAATTGAGAATAAGTTTTATGTTATGGTATTAGAAGAATTAGATTTAAAAATCATAGTATTTTGATTAAAAAAACTAGCAGTTTGGATAGTTGCCAGTACAGATGCATACAAGCCAAAGCTTAGCAGCTGTCAACAGTATCTAATGTCGGAACTTTTTCTGATTTTTTATTTGAATTGTCAGTCCAATTTATTTGTTCAATAATTTCATGGATACAAGTTTGTTTTTTATTTATTTATAAATATTTAAGTTTGTATCGACTATTCATTCAATCTCAAATATTGGTCATTATAATCTGAACGAAAAATGTCATCTGAAAAACAAGAGCGGTTAACTCTTAAAAAATATGAAAAGTGTTGAATTTAAGACTGACTATTGTTATCATAAAAAATTTTTGAAATTTTTTTTATTGTGGCAAAACAATACCGCCATAATGCCAGAATAGTAAATGATGTAAGTTTGTGGTGTGGAGTTCATTTTCAGCTTATTTCCATCAAGAAATAAATGGACCCTTCATCATAGAATGGATATTATTTTCAGCTTGGTGGTCTAAATTATAGAAAATGAAAGTTAGTGGGTAAGAAAAAATTTAATGAAGGCGTTCAAATTCCACTTTCTAATAGTTAATGTGTAGCATGATTATGAGAAAGATTATGCAAAAATAAGAGGAAATTATATCGAACCCAAAAAGTAGTTGAGTGGTATGGAGTTTATTTTAGTATGAACTATAAATTTGGACCTTGTAGGTTTAACTGTCACTGGGGACTCCAAAATTTAATTAATGCAAGTAATCCATTATATAATGATGAATCCATTATTAACCTTTCTAGGAGAGAGTTTTTGTCACCAAAAAAAAAAGCAATAACTTGTTCATATGCCAAAGAAGTCGTAACTCATGTGGCTCTAAAAGGAGGTCTTGATTGTAATCAACTTTTTTTAGGTTCAATGTTCGGGGGTTTCAGATCAATTTTTGTGTGTTTCGATTAATTTTTTTTTTGATTTTATTTAAGATAGGTCATCCACGCTAAATTTAGGGTATTCATGACGAATAAATCAAATATGATCTGATTTTAATAGATTATCAAAATTTGAACTTAGAACGTTTGAATTTATAGCTCGTTTATATTACCATTTGAATTGGTGTTAACTCATGTGACTCTAAAAGGAGGTCTTGTTTGTAATCAATTTTTTTGGGGTTCAACGGTTAAGGGGTTTGAGCTAATTTTTGCATATTTCGATTAATTTTTTCTCTAATTCGATCAAAAACAGATCATCTATGTCAGATTTAGGGTATTCATGATGGATAAATCTCACATGAGCTGTTCCTAAGAAATTGTCAAAATTTAAATTTAAAACAATTGAGTTTATAACTCATTTCTGTTACCCGTTTGAATTGCTTTTATGTTTTAATCAATCACTTTTAGCTCTATGCTCAGCTCATAATTTTTTCCCACTGTGGATGATATACAATATTCACTTACAAAAAAGTTTGACAATAATTTTTTTTTGTGTCCCTTAGTATCATATTCTGCTTGGGGACATTTATAATTCAATATTTTTCTAATATTGTGGATGTGTTATATTTCACTTCTATTCGCACTTCATCCGACATAAAATTATTTGGGTTCTAATTGAAATTTTTCATAAACCACTTTATATGGAGTGGAGGGTTAGGCCGATTTTCATGGATACCCCGCATTTCAATTTTAAAGAGCTTTCGAAATTTT